ATAACTGTATTATTATTTTTAATATTATTATTGAAAAACTAGTAATAATACAAGGTTTCTCTGTGTCACCCTGACTATCCTGGAACTTGATCTGTAGACCAGGCTGACCTCAAACTCACAGAGATCCGCCTGCCTCTGCCTCCCGAGTGCTGGGATTAAAGGCGTGTGCCACCACTGCCAGGCCTGTTCATCATTATTTTTATTTTTTAATTTTACATTTTTATTTATTATTTCTGTTTAATGGTATTGTCCAGTCATTTGTGGAATTCACTTGAGAACGGTCCCCTTTAGTCTAGAAAGAAGCGCACCCCTAAACAATTGACAAAGAGCAAGTGACTATTGTGGTTATTGAACTACTAACTTAGTCTTGATGTTTATCACTAGCAGAGTCATCCTCACTCTACCTACGTGAGGAAAGCAATGGGATCAATTTTCTGACTACATGATGTTGAAACGACTTGAAAAAATATTAATACCAGGTTTGATATAAGATAGGCTTCAAAATATGATCCCTTCCATTCCATCAGTGTGATTTCCTTTTCTAAAAATGGAATTCTTTATACATAATTTTTGTTCACTTTACATTTAAATGTTAAATTTGTAGTATACACTTACTTGTATTATCTCTGTTCATAAATTTTTAAAAGTAAACAAGTGCTTAAATGGAGATGCGATCATATGATTCACTCTGCCTTGAATCTATTAGGGGTTCTGTTTTCAAGGTTTTTAGATAGTATATCCCTCTGTAGTCTAGGCCATACTGGAACTCATTAGGTAGCTCCGGCTGGCCTCAAACTCATGGCCATCAACCTGCCTCAGCCTCCAGTAGGCTGAGATTACAGAAGTAACCTACCATGCCAGGACTCCAATTGTTTCATTTAGTCATACTGTCATTGTTTCATGTTGCAAAATACAATTCTGTAGCATTTTACATAAATCCTACTTGGTATTAATCACATATGATAGTCATGTATATTACTATTTACCTTATCACGTATCAACTAATTATCAGTACACTTATTGTTACATTTAATTATTTAAGGTGTGTCTGTATTTGTACATGTATGTGTGTCACACGTGGATGCAGGCCAGCACATGAGGGTGGATGTCAGAGATCTTGTGAGAGGCATTTCTCTTTCTACTATGCAGATTTATAAGGCAAACTCAGGTTGGCAAGCTGTGACTAGGGGCAAGCACCTTGTACCCTCTGAACCATTTTTCTGTGTACAAACATTACCCATGGTGGTTACCCCAGTTGTTTATCTCCAGACCAGTCCTTTCCTCTCAGTTTGAGAATTCATGTCCAGCCAACTGTTCAACTTTTCCACTTAGATACTTAAATAGATAATCTAACACAATAGAACTCTTAATTTGGAGTCCTTAAAAATCTCCCTATTGGTAAATCACAATTCAACCTATCTATAATTTTGCTAGCCCTCAAATGGTTTCTAGATTTAGGAAATCAGCAAATTCACTTAGCTTTGTGAATATCCCTACATTTATGCTCAGGAAATTCCTAAAATTTTAATCCTTACCATCAAATAACCTCCATCAGGACTGGACCTATTTACACTCATTAACAGTGTTGGAAAATCCTGAAGCTTAATCAAGTAGAAATTTGCTAAGTCTTGTTTTCCCCTCAAAATATAGTGAATTTCCCATTTACCATAATTTCAATATATTCAAAGTAGGTCAAAGGTTATTTATCATAATTAGATTCAGAATGTAATTTTGTAGCTTACTTTCAACCTCCCATGGAGCCTCTATAACCACTAAGATGTCAGAGACTCATTTAGGTGAATTCAGGCACTTTTCTGGCCACCTCTCACACATCTATCATTGTCACTTCTTGAGCTCTACCACTGGGATTATTTTCTCTCCATTTAACGAAAGTCTGAAAGATCATTATTTTTTCCAAAAGCACTGCATTCACTGCGGACGTAAAGGCTTAGAGGGACACGTGAAACTACTTGGTGATACTTTCCAACAGCTGTTACTATTCCCAGGGCATCATAAACACACAAGAGAAAAACAATTTGTAGGTCACGGAATTAGGCTTTCATGTTTTAAAGTGACAGCTCATTTTTTTTTTTTAATTTTTCTTTTTGCCTTTCTGCCTGTCTTCTTTGCAGTCAAACTGTGCTCATGCTATTCGGCTTTTTTATTGTTAAGCATATTGATAATCTTAAGTAAGGAGATGTGTTTGTAGTGAGGAGAAACAATCCAATTGCATGTTTTAATCTTTTAAAAATTTGTGTCTGGCTTATAACTGCTTTATTTGAAAACGAATAATTTATAAATAATAATCTTCAAACCCTATTATACAGTAAACATAATTGTTATGATGGGGTGATAGTTTGTTTCCGATTCCACATTTCCAGCATTTAAATCTTTTATGGACTATATTGGTGTCCTGTTATTTGCTAAGGTATTTTCTGCTTTTAACATAAAGTTCCCTCCCAGAACCGCTCTTTGAACTACTGTGTTCAACCTTCTTCATACTTAACACAATTTTCTATCATTAAAATTCACAAAATGTAAGGACATTTCAACAAAGACCTTGCACTCATTTTCTTAGTTAAATCACCCTTCTAGCTTATGCTCTAAAATACATGATTTAAAATTCATATTGTTTCTAAACAGCCTTTTCCTGCATAATAGCCTGTTTCCATTCCCATGCCAATGTAGAGTTCACTGCTAAAATGCAAAGAGGCTTAACACAGCATCTAAAAGTTGACCATTGTCTTTAATATCCAATCACAGTGGAGACTCGGCAGATGCATTTTCAAACACACTAAAGGATGAAACCGCTGTGCAGTCCTCTGCCACGCCATACGTTCCCGAATCTACATTCTGGAAAGCACCCACAGTTTAAAGTTAGTATTTGCCAAACTAGGTCAATGTAGTTTACTGCAAATGGCGGCTATACTAACCTTGACTGGTCAGAATACCCCAGCTAGCTTTTCGCTTAGAAGAACATTCCTCTACATTTGCTAGTTTTCTTTTCGGGAGGATTTGCTTAATGGCGTTCCCTTCCACAGCAATGTCTGCAGACATACTTTGGTTGGTGTGTTTGTCTGTAACAAGCAGTTGTCATGAATACAAGTGCTCTTCCCCAGAAGAAATATTAGCATCTGGCTCTCTACCTACTTTTTCCTCCCCTTCCGACTTTCACAAAGGTTCCTGTGTGTTGCCTGGAGAAAAGCTTCAGCATTGAGCTCTATTCAGAAATACTTGGAAAGGGGCTGGTAGATGCAGTGTGGGGGAAGGGCCAGAAAGGTTGCAGCATTTTCTATTTTTAAAGCGGATACTCTCTGCAGCAAGAAATATTTAACTGTTTGTGTGATACAAATCAAGAAATTTTACTAAAATCACTTGCTGTTGCTTTAATGTCAAAGCCTATTTCAATGACACGCACGTCAACCAAATGTAAAACTGCCCACTGATAAAATATAAAACTGCCCACTGATGAAGGCTAGATAGAACTTCATAGTCAGAAGGCTCTGGCTCAAAGATTCCTTCGGCCTTACCCCAGCATCATCAGAAATAAGCATTATATGTGCATATGGATTCGTTGGTATCTAACTTGTGTTTTAATTTTGTGAGTATCTATGTTTAGAATTGAAAAATCACAGACTTCTTATTCCCATAGGCACAGCTCACTACTGTGATTTTTTCAGAGGTCATTTCTAAACCACAAGACATCAGTAGGCGACTGAAGTATGGCTGAGATTTTTTACCCTAAAAGGTAAAGGAACGAGAAGTTGGAGAGATGAGAGGAAAAAACTAAACATGTGCCCGTTGTTTATTTGTGTATTGCTAGCATGGAGGATTGAACAGGGTTAACAGTCCACGGGGGAGGAAGAAGGACAAGTAAACTGTGAAGGGACTCCATGGATTAACTGAGCTGCTCATCGTATTACATGATATTTACATATTGAGATCTGTCCAGATGACAGATGGTGACAGAGCCAATTATCTGCCTTCATTTCTTTAGTGTCATCTTTAAGATTCTAGTTGCTATTGGCCCATAGAGGAAATGAAATAATTGGAGCTCTGTCCCCCTGTAATAAGTCAAGGAGGAGGAAAATGAATCATGTAATAAAGTGATTTTCCATGCTTTACCTGTTGACATCTGCTACCATGTTACTTACATCAAATAAATCACTGGTGGATACCCCAAAACATGCCTTTCTTATCTCAAGCTCTGACTTGGAAAAGTCACCTAACTATCTATATCCCTTCCTCACTTTCTAAAACATTGGCTGGGTGGGTGTCATCATACTCTTCTGTCTCTAAGGGTCTTTGATTCAGTTTTTATGGCACACATAAAAGAAAAGTTAGTACATGAGTTTTAGGAACCACATAGTGCCACTGCAAGACCTAGATATTCCCAGTAAAACTTACGCTCAGAGACAGCTCAGCTAGGGCAATTGGTATGGATGGCTTGTTCCCCAGATGATACAAAGACTAGAAAGGCCTATTCAGCATTTGGTATTGACTTGAGCCAATGATACTTGACCACTAGCTCCTTGTGGCATAGTTTACACTCACTGAGAAAGTATGAATTCTTAAAATAAAAGTAGATAATTTTTTTTGTTTAAAAAATTATAAGAAACTTCAGTTTTAGGCTCAGGATTTTTCAGCTTCATGCTTTTGTTAATGTAAAAAAAATAAATATAGGAAGATTCAAATACTGGAACAAATTTGTCCTTAAAACAGTCGTAGATACGATATATTATATTAAACTGTCTATATCTGACTCTCCACCTAAGTTGTGTAGTATGATCACAAGGCCTGAATCACTATGTTATTTCCCTGGCCCATCTTTTAAATGGTATCCCATCTTAAAGAGTAACTCAAATACGAAACTTAAGGACACCTCAGAAGTTTTTCTAAGTGTTAGGTGATGCAAATTTCCAGTAAAGCGAAGGGGTAAAATAACCAACATAATCTGTACTGTTTTCTAAAGATTAATTTGTTCTTGCTCCTCTTAAAAGTCTCTCTTTGCAGCCAATGGAGACCACCACAGAGAAGCACAATGGGACAGAACAGAGAGATCAACAGATTGAGGGAAGTATGGCTCAAGTGAATGCAACTACATCACAGCTCCTGCAGCTGTGGCTCTGGAAACATCATGAAAGAGAAGGAGGAAAGACTGTAAGAGGTAGAGTACCAGGAAGTCTTCTGTGTATACTCTCCTATAAATGGCTGCATAAGTAGGACCACAACAATGTGATATCAATGGGCATGGGAATGTGGAAAGGGTATAAGGGGGTCTCACTCCTAGACAAGGAACTACAGGTAACTAATGACTTCTTGGAAAAGGAGAATTGTACCAGATGTGGGAATACTTTTTGGTATTCAATGCAGAGGACCATCTTTGAAAGTCCATACACACTACCAACAAAATCAGGCTCAAGCAGGTTATATAATATTTGTGCATACACATGCATAAACATACACATGTGTATGACAATAAGAGTCAAAGAAAAATTTACTAACTTCAGGGAGGTTATGGGATGAGTTTGAGTGAGAGTAATTGGGAGAGCTGGAGGAAAGAAAAAGGGGTGATGCGATTATATTTTATCTATCTGTCTGTCTGTCTGTCTGTCTATCCATCCATCCATCCGTCTAGCTGTCTGTCTATAAAAGAAGAAACTGGATTTGATCATAGCTATATACTTAACTGAGTTATGTTTTGGCTTGCAGATAAACTGAGGCAGACTTTTTCTATTTTAATATTGTAAATTACTCAGAAGAAAGGGATTTTAAAAGTGATTTCATGGGGGCTGGAGAGATGGCTCTGAGGTTAAGAGCACTGCCTGGACTGTTGCATAAACTGAACACAGAGAACCCTCAGAGAGAGGACTGCTAAACTTGCCTAAAGGTGAGATATCTTTCGGGGTTCCTGATTCATGAAAGAGTCTACGAGACATTCTACAGGACACAGCAGAAAATGACTGAACTGTCTTTGAAATTTCCTGCTTGATGAAAATGTCTGCTGGATACTATGGGCCTGAAGGCTGAAGATGTATGCCCCAACGGTACAGAGGAACTTTGAATGACTGTCCAGGCAGTGAGATGTCTCTGTCATTTCTAGAGTTTTCTTATTTCTTGTTTACTTAGGTAGTATTATATCCTTCTGGAGTCTTTGATGGAGTTGAAGAATGAATAGATAGTTATAGTTTTCCTTAGTTATGATAAAAGATAAAATAGATATAAATATTGTAACTGTAATTCTTGCTTGATAACTGTTTTGCTATATGTAATTTTACTATGTTAAAATGATAGCCTTCTTTTTTGTTTAAACAGAAAAAGGGGAAATGATGTGGGAGTGATTTCTTACTAATAAAGAAACTGCCTAGGCCCATTTGATAGGCCAACCCTTAGGTAGGCAGAGAAAACAGAACAGGATGCTGGGAGAAAGAAGCTGAGTCAGGGAGTCGCCAGATTCTCCCACTCCAGACAGACGCAGGTTAAGATCCTCACTGGTAAGCCACCTCGTGGGCTACACAGATTATTAGAAATGGGTTAAATTAATATGTAAGAGCTAGCCAATAAGAGGCCAGGCAGTGTTTAAAAGAATATAGTTTCCATGTAATTATTCCGGGGCATAAGCTAGTCATGCGAGCAACTGGGTGCTGGGGACGCAGCCCTGCCACTCCTATCACTACAGAAATCTATATAAGGATGTAAGACACGATTAGGCAAAGATGAACTTAAAAACAATAGAAAGAGGGCCGACCTGATGACCATGTTACAAATCTAACTTCAAGGCACAAATTTAACCTTTTTTCTTAAGTTGGCATAACCAGTCCACATAGATTATTGCTTCTCAGAGGCAGCATTTAGTTGAATCCATGATTATTCAAAGATTAGCATTTCTGAGAGTATATTTCTCAATGATGGGACTTGAATCCAGAACAAGTTTTTCTTCCATGGTCAGAAAAAAGATAGGATAAACAAGCAAGCCCCTGCTTAAGTCTAGATCGGCTCCTTCCCCAGTGTTTTACTGAGCAAATACATTGACATAACCATCATTGTACTCTAAAAAGGCTTCTAGGACATTTTGGCAGCAAATCTCAGTTCATAATTTCACATATAAATATTTCAGCATCTGTCTCTACCATTTTCACTGTAATCACAGTATTCTATCCAAGAGAAAACAGCAATTTTATTACAGAACAGTTTAAGAGTTTTTCTTTCCCATAGAACTCAATTTATAAGTTTACTTCTACCGGGGCACTTTAATGTATATGCTCTTTAAATCCTTTATTATTGGGAAATTATTTTATACTCTCTTTATTATTTTTGTGTCTATACGGGATGTGTGTGTGTGTGTGTGTGTGCATGTCTCACATGGGCCATTCCAAGGTTTAAACTCCACTTGTCAGACTTGCATGGCAGTCACCTTTTCCCTTTGAGCAGCCCCTTTGCCCTCACTCCATTTTCTAAACTGTACGATTCGCATCCATAACAGATGTTTACTTAATCATCCAAATTACTGATGAGTCGGCTAGGACTAGGCAGGATTGTCACTTTATAGCTTCACAAAGCCCCTGAGGAAGCCTTACCTCCCAGGGGCAAGTGTTCCTCCTTACAGAGCAGCATCACTCACTCCCGACAGGCCGTGCTAGAGCTTCCTTACAAGGCCAAGTGTCCGTACAATTCTAGGAGATACTTCAGACTTCCATTCTTGCTCCATTCTTATTCTATTCTATGTGAACATGATAGGCTAAGTCTGATGGTCCAGTAAATAAATGAGGGTAGGTGAAGCCTGAGGGCAAGTCAAACAAGAGGTCCACAGGGATTGTTATCTAACAGTTAGCATTTGTTTTACATGTCAGTGAAACCTACAGCTGACAATCTTGTGGTTCCTGATATTTCCCCTCTTGACTACAGCAGAGTGGGTAGGAACGGGCATAGGAAAAGTCACCCACTTCCAGGAAAGATGGTCGGTATAGCTAGAAAATAGCACTTAAGAGCAAGACGCAAAGGACATTTTGTCATCAGTATGTATGGAGACAATTTTGAGAAGATATGCTACATCTTTTTAAACATCACAAACTAGGTACAATTTAAGAAACATAAGCAGGGTGTTGTCGGGACCAAAAGAAACTCCTGAGGAATGGCTGTGGTGCATATTAGCATATCAATGCACACGCTGGCTTCTAGGTGCTCTCTGCCAGTACCTGCTACAGAGGCCACTGGCATCTTATCTCCCTCAGCTCCTATCCCACACCCCATCCTAAAATCTTTCTAGCTTCCCTTCCCACAGCTTCCCATTCTTCTATAACCTTGTCATTTCTGCCAGGTCATGCTCTCCCTTTTTCGATTCTTTTTGCTTTCTTGGTCCTCTTGTTCCTCTCTCTCTGTTTTCTTCTTTTCACCCCCACCTACGTGGTCCGGTACAGTCAACTACGTTTCCTCCCTGCTGAGGATTCTCCCATTTGCCTTCCTCGATCTACAAGAAAAGCCTTCTCTTCAATCACACCTTTGGGCAGTTATGAACTCATTTCACTCAGGGGTAAGACGCACCGTTTAAACGATGAGCCATTTCTACGTGGAAAAGACACTTTAAAAACTAGGAATGAAGAATTATTCTGTGTTCTGTATTTTTTGTTATCTTTGCTTTCAAGATAGGGTCTTGTGCAGCCCAGGCTGCCCTCAGGATTCTTCTGTAGCAGAAGTGCTGGAATGACAGCTCCATGCTACCACCTCAAACTCAGGATTTCTTTCCTTTCTTTCCATGTCCCAAAAAAGCAGCAGGTTTTGAAGTAAATTGAAGCTGTGATGCATTTGAAGCCTAGAAGTCTCCCAATCCTCCTGTCACTGGCTCACAAGTGCTAGAAGATCATGGAAGTATAATATAGTATGTAGTACTATATTAATACTACATGTAGTATTAAATATCTGGACAATGTCTAGCGCGGGTTTGTTGGTGTGAATTGAGTACTGTTATCTAAGTATTTCCTTGGGTGAACTGGAGATCAATAGGGAATTGATGGAAGGTAAGTGTTTAAAAATGCATTCTCGGGGCTGGAGAGATGGCTCAGAGGTTAAGAGCATTGCCTGCTCTTCCAAAGGTCCTAAGTTCAATTCCCAGCAACCACATGGTGGCTCACAACCATCTGTAATGGGGTCTAGTGCCCTCTTCTCGCCTGCAGGCATACACAGAGACAGAATATTGTATACATAATAATAAATATTTAAAAAAAATAAATAAAAATGCATTCTCACATGTTACACAGACAATGTCTTAATAAACTCAGTTATCTCTACCCCAAGGCTTTTACTGAAGTGGAAGTATTCATAATTCAATTCACGACTTCATTTTGCCAGTACACCACTCCTGAATTTCCCTTGGTCATCTCCACATTTTACTTCTAATTCCATTGCTGCTGAGGTCAAGTTATAAAATCCTATCAATGAGCGCAAGAATAAAGCTTACTGGAAAACCCTTGCGTTACACGTTCAAGACTCTGGATGTTTGATCGCCAACATGGGAAAAGTCAATACTGGAATAGTTACTGACCCCACCCACTGGCCATCATCTGATCCATTCATTCTTTACTGATTAACTGGAATGTCTGAGGTTTGCTTCAAAATAATTTACTTGAGAAATTTCACAAGTTTGTCAGTGCACTTTACAAAAGCAAGTCTGTATGTACCAAAACATTATTATTTTTCTTTCCAATTTACAACCAGAATGCTGTTTAAAATAGAAAATGTGCATAATAAATTTCTTAGGAAGCTCATTTACTATTCTGGATTTAATTAATGAATACTTGAAAATTTTCCCATATATTCATAAGTAATATTATCCTACATTTACTTTTCTTGTAGCAACTGTTAGAGGCCTTAGTAAAGTTCTGTTAGCTTGATCTCTCTCAGTATGAGGGGTATGCTATGCTAAATTATATATTCTACCTTTGTAGAATCTGGTTAAGAAACCTTTGTACCCGATGTTGGGCTTTGAGTCACTACAGTGGTCCTCACTAATAGTTATGAATGCTTATGTGAAGTGGAGGAAAACAAAAATGAAGCCAAACCTACAGGAAAAGTGTGCAACCATGTCTATCTACGAATATATTCTTGACAAGTGACAAGAGGAATAGTTTGGGACAATTCTGTATTTTGTCAATTATGTTTTAAATAAATGCTGATTGGCCAATAGCTGGCCAATAGCCAGGCAGGAAGTATAGGCAGGAAAACCAGACAGGAAGTAGAGGCGGGGAAATGAGAACAGGAGAATTCTGGGAAAGAGGAAAGCCCATTCCTCTGCAGTCACAGACACAGAAGAAGGAAGATGTGACTGCTGACTGCCTTTCTGCAAAAGGTACCGAGCCATGTGGCTAACATAGATATGAATAATGGGTTAATATAAGTTATAAGAGTTAATAAGAAGCCTGAGCTAATGGAACAATCAGCTTATGATTAATGTAGACCTCCATGTGATTTCTTTGGGACTTAACAATGGCAGGAACTGGGAAGGACAGAAACCCCTGACATTTGAGCAGAAGCTGGTGTCCTACATAAAACTCTTTGTAGGCCTGATTTGGGGACACAAGTGGCTCAAAAGGGAGAGATTG